GCGGGATTTAAGTGATGGACTCGTCGAGTCGGGTCCCGGACTCGACGAGTAGGCTCTGTATGGACAAAACCCTAATCTGAGGGTTTGCACCCTATTTAACAACCTTACATACCCTCCATCGCCCCTTTATGCTCCCAGAAACCCTCCATAGCAAACCCTAAGTGTTTTGGTGCAAGATTTAAGCTTTTTTGGTGATTTTGGTGTTTTGTTCACAAGAAGAAAGGAAGAGCATAGAAGGATCAAGAGGAGACTGAAGGATTCGAGTTTGGTTCATCATTTGTAGTCTTGAAAGGTATAAAGTCTGTATCTTGCTCTTTCATTTGATAGATCCCTTTTTGGGAAGATTTAGGGCTTTTATAAGCCATTTTGGTACCAACCATGATTGCAAACATGGTTGGGGGTCAAGACTTCGGACCTAGCACTTGGAGAAGCCACAAGGCAGATTTGGGTTGCTTTTGCACCCAAGAAAGGCCCCATGCATCAAGAGAGCTCATTTTATGTCCTTTTGAGCTCAAAGTCCCATGCATGCACGTAAAGTTTGTAACTTTACGTGCTAGAACGATTGAAGGAGCTTAGATCTACCTTTTGGTCAAGTGTTGTACATCAGAATTCGAGATTTAGGGTCTGGATGTCATCGACTCGGCGAGTCCGTTCTTGGGACTCGACGAGTCCAAGGCTTTGAGTCCCATATCTGTTGAGGGTCAAAAGACTCAGTTGGGTGTTAGAAGGGTTGTAGCAGGACAGAAAGAGTGACCCAACGCATTGGACTTAATTTTAGACCTGGAGTTCATGGGACTCGACGAGTGCTAGAACAGACTCGGCGAGTCCAAGGCAATCTCCTTATATTTGAAGATGAACTCGACGAGTTGTTCATACAACTCGGCGAGTCAAGGTCAGGACTTGTTCATCAGTTGAAGGTGAACTCGGCGAGTGTTCATCCGACTCGGCGAGTCGGATGAAGGTTCATTGATGTCCGTAAGGAGGGGAACTCGTCGAGTCGTTGCCAAACTCGACGAGTCGAGTCGTGGATAAGGACGAGTAAAGGGAAGGGACTCGACGAGTTGACGACCCAACTCGGCGAGTCTGGTCAACTGGAAGTTGACTTTGTCTTGGACTTGGTTGGGGGTAAAATGGTCATTTTACCCTAAGAATAGATATCAGTCTCTAACTGAGTGTTTTGTGGGGATTGTAGCCGGAGGATTTCCGGAGCAGCAGCGGACGGAGGTTTCCCGCACATATTATCAACAACTACTTGTACGAGGTGAGTTACCTTCCAGTAGGGGTGGGTCTAAGGCCACAATGCCGGCCCACCAAAGAGGAATATTTAGAAGATGATTGTCTTTGTGATAATTATCTTGGTCTGGTTACGTGCTTTGGTCATGAGTTTTATCTGTATGATATGTTACGTGTGTAATAGGGATTAGCTTCCCTGACAGCGGTCCTTAGGACCGAAGGGTAGGTTAGTACCCGGATATGCCTGACTGTATGTTTATATCTTGTTGTTGTATGCTAGTGGTAGGGGGTGGAATAGTCCCCAGTTACCGGTTGAAAGATACCGATGACAGTTACCGGTTGAAAGATACCGATGATGATTACCGGTTGAAAGATATCGATGATGATTACCGGTTGAAAGATACCGACGATGATTACCGGTTGAAAGATACCGATGTTATTGTATGGTATGTGGTATGATGGGGGAACTCACTAAGCTTTGTGCTTACGGTTTCAGTTTTGGTTTCAGGTACCTCTTCGTCTAAGGGGAAGGAGCCGGCGGTGTAGCATCGCATCACACACACATGATTTCCGCATGGAGTTTTCTGGAATTGTACTATGATATGTTATTATTTTATGACTTGGGTTTCAGACATGATACATTGTTTAATGAGATGATGTGTTTTCACAGTATTTTCTTATGAATGTTTTTATGAGTCAGTTAATTAAAAAGAAATTTTTGGGCTTGAAAATTGGGATGTTACATAGGTTTTTTTTTGGACAGAGGTTTGGTGCAACAGGCAGTAACATTAGATAGCGTCGTAACACCCAACGAACTCGGGTTCGATCCATCCACGAAATGATAACAACATCTTTAACAACCTAGTTTTCCATTAAGGGCTTTACTAATTACTGCTTTGGACACAGATCGAATTTGTTACCACCCAGAAACCCCTGGAAGGGGAAAACTAGAGTGTGTCTCCGTCCGGTTAAACTTGACCTCATTGGCCCCAATATATCTTATTAATATTAATATTAATATTATTATTATTATTATTATTATTATTATTATTATTATTATTATTATTAGAACGGAAAACATATATGTCCACCGAAAACATTTGCTACATCTGTATACATTTAATTAAATAAGTAACCTTTTAATACACCTTGATATCACTAGGTCAAATGTCATTTGGAAGAGAGATTATTGATAATATTTCCATCTAATTTTCTTTTTAACATGAATGAATTTGGAAAGAAAGTAATCTAATTCAAATATAAGGACTTTTTTTATTTATAGATTTTTTCCTTCAACCTAATATAAAAAAATTACATAGCCTTTATAATCATGATTTTCTAACCAACTAATATACGTTGTATTCTCCATCATCAAAGAAATTCATTCATTTCATTTTCTCCGAACTGGAAACACGAAAACAGAATACATCTTTTCATTTTTTTTTTCTCCTTATTTCTTTTTCCTTTATTAAACTTTGGAACATAGAGTTAAGACAAAACGGAAGCTCAAAATATGATATGGCAAATGAAAAAAGCTTGGTAAAAATTCCATCTTGATAAAGTTGGATTCCTATACAACTCTAAGAAAATGAATACAATATATATATAACTTTATAGTACAAGTTAGTGACCAACCTTGATCTCACGTTACCGGACAACGAACCATTCTAATATGTCACTGCATATGTCACACTCCTAATCCGTCTAGGATGCGAATCTAATCATCAAATCTATTGTGAATTACTAGTTAGTTGATCACACATAACAGGCTTATAATTTTCATTATTGTTGAAAACAATTAAAATATATTTGTATAAATTAAATCGTCTTACAAGTTGCTGGTTTATTTAAAACTTTATGATATATTGAACATTTTTTTCTCCACATAAACATAATCTTATATAGTAATCTTATGACATCTCTTCCATTATTTGTGATATTTGCGACTCGGACATGAAAGACAAGACCTTGTTAGGAGGCGCCCGCCTTATGGAGTTTCATTGGAAAATGGTAGGATTTTATCATTCCGGCTTTTGTCACTATTGAGATGTAAACATGTAGTACATTGGATCGAGATGTCTCGGTTTTCTAATGTGAAACCAATGGTGTTGGAGGCTAGAGTCATTCTCACGTGGTGAATCCTTTGGAATTTTTGTAATGTTAATATTTTCAATGGTCACAATTTAGAAGAAATTTGTTGCAATGGTCACAATTTAGAATAAATTTGTTGATTGATAGATTGATCGATTATTCTTAGGAAGGTAGGAGTGGACCACTCCCAACCCATTCAATCCACTGTCAATCAGCTCTACATCAGTTTTTCTTTCTTTTATTTCTTCAATCAGTTCAACAACAGTTTTTTTCTCTCCTATTTCTTCCATCTTTCACAGAAATAGCATCTTTTCCAACTCACTCAATCCATTAAATTAAAAAATATACAAAACATATGTACAAGTTCTTAAGCATATACATGGCAGTATGGAAGCATGGACGATGACCCAAGGCCTTCAAATCTTTGGGGTCCATTTTTTATGTATCTACTTATATTATTTAAAAAAAAAATTGGTATTAAATCTCCACATGCAACGACAAAAAGGGCCTTATTTTTTTATATTGCCCAGGGCCTCAAATTAGCTTGAATCGGCCTAAGCCTATAGTATAAGAGAAAAGGAAAGAGAGAGAGGGGGATGGAATCGGCTTGGATAATCCGCTGAATGAAGTAAATGTAAGGTACCACTCTTAGAGGGACAATGGTCTTGGAGGTAACTTTGGTACCTCCGACCCAAAACCTAAATTCAGTATTAACAGAATGTTTTGGCTGTTAAACTTTATTCTTTCTGTTCCATTGTAATTTTTTGTTAGCTTTGTGCTAACTTTTTAATAAAAAATCTTTAGTTGTTCAAAGACAAAGTCATATATTCAATTTCCACAAAACGACTCAATGAAAAGCATATATTGTGGTCCTTCATGATTCATAAAATACATGGAAAATTATGCAAGATGTATTTTGTTATGCCCTAGGAATCACATATATAACACACCAGATTTGGTAAATTCTAACATAAAATTTTTAATACTGTTAAATAATGTAATTTAATATTTTGTGTTACATCTTCAATAGTATATGGTCTTTTATGTAAATTTCCGATACCCTTAAATGCATAGCCATGAAGTGACGCTAAGATGTATTTTCACAATTCAACATGATATTCAATGCTTGTTAACTGTTTTTTTTACCTGGCTACCGTCAGTCTCTCATATAGTCATATGTCATTCTAAAAGAAATAGTTCATTCAATTGCAATTTCTTGTTGTTTCAATTTGGTCCCACAAACAAAGTTCCTAATTATTAGTTGATGTTTCCGCTAATGCACACCAATATGAGTGGACAGGAGTGTACAAATTGGTTACGACCTCCTATTTTGTTAAATTACTAAGAAAATCAACTACACATGTTACCTCCTTCCCTCCCCCTTCCCTACTTCTCAAAGTAAGCATGAACAAACCCACAATCTTTTATAAAAAAATATAAGAAAAAATATTTTAGTTCGTGATTTTATCTCAAATTCTGACATTATATTTTACATTTTTATGTATTTTCTCTTCACTTTCATCAACTTGTCTTCAGTTGACTAATGATCATTGTCCTATATTGTACTATAATCAATGCTTTACCAACCCCCGTTGAACGTTGATGCTGAAAGCCGGACTATAAAAACCAGGATCATCTTCAACCTATTTATCCAGTAAGTAAATCCTTCCTCTTCAATGGAGACCCCAACTGTTAAAATCATCTCAGATTGCTTCGTCAAACCAAAATTTTTATCAGAAGAGGCTAAAAAGCCCATTTACTTGTCACCATGGGATCTAGTCATGGTAAATGTGAATTATATCCAAAAGGGTCTGCTTTTCCACCGGCCGGAAAATCAAGATTTCTCCATAACCACATTCTTGGAGGAGCTCAAAGACTCTCTCTCCGCCACGCTTACTCATTTCCACCCACTCGCCGCCCGTTTAGCCACCGTAAAACAAGAAAACCCACCTTCCATTGTTGTGTTCTTGAACCCTGAGAACAGCCCTGGAGCCAGATTTATCCATTCGGCTGTTAATTTAACGGTGGCGGAGATACTTACGCCGGTCGATGTCCCGGTGATTGTTCAATCGTTTTTCGATCACCACAAAAGCTATCGATCACGACGGACATGAAATGTCGTTGCTGTCGATTCAGGTGACGGAACTCACCGACGGAATATTTATCGGCTGCTCGATCAACCACATGGTTGTTGACGGATCCTCCTACTGGCATTTCTTCAACTCCTGGTGGGAAGTTTTCAGAACAAAAGCATATAAAAATGGTGATTTAATTCCCATTTCACGTCCTCCTGTTATCCAAAGATGGATCCCGGAAGGATCCGATCCGATCCTCACACTACCATTTACCCGTGAAGACGAATTCATCGATAGACCCTATGCTCCATTGTTAAGAGAGAGAATCTTTCATTTTTCGTCGGCTTCTCTCTCTAAGCTAAAAGCGAAAGTGAATTCAGAGTGCAATACAACCAAAATTTCATCGTTGAAGGCGCTCTCAGCCGTTGTCTGGAGGTGCGTGACGCGTGCACGGCGGTTACCGGCAGACCAGGAAACCGGTTGCAGATTGGCCTTCAACAACAGACACAGGCTATCTCCGCCTTTACCTGAAACTTACTTGGGTAACTCGATTGCTGCAGTTAGAGGAACAGCGACGGCGGGGGAGTTGCTGGATCACGGTGTTGGGTGGGCGGCATGGCGGTTGCACCAAGCGGTGGTTAATCATGACGATAAAGTGATAAGGGAATTTGTGGATTCGTGGGTAAAGAATCCGTTTGTGTATAAAATGAGTCGGCTTTTTGATGCGAATAGCATACAGATGGGAAGCTCGCCGAGATTTGACATGTACGGAAATGAATTCGGGTTAGGGAAAGGAGTGGCGGTTCTGAGCGGGTATGCTAATAAATTCGACGGGAAAGTGACATTGTATGAAGGACGGGAGGGCGGAGGAAGCATGGATCTAGAAGTCTGCTTGTTGCCGGAAAACATGGCGGCTTTTGAATGTGACGAAGAATTCATGAATGTTGTTAATGGCCTTTTATAAAACTTTTACTTCTTGTTTGATATTTTCTCTCATTTGAACCGCTTGGTGGCTGTTTCTTTTTTTTTTATTTTACACCCAGTTCCGAGTTCAACTTAACGACAGAACGGAAAGGAAATAGATGGAAATGAGAAGAAAATAAAAAAATTGGTGTTTCCGAGTTTCGTTAAAGGACGGAAGTGGAGGGAAATGAGAGGATCACTTTTCCTCCTAACTTTTCTTCCGATTTGGAAGGATTTGGAAAGAAAGAACAAAATGATTCATTTTCCTTCCACTTCTTTCCAATTCGGGAATACAAAAGAAAATTTTGTTTTCCTTTCTCTTCTTTTCTCTCATGACTTTCTTTTCTATTCTCTTCTTTTCTTTTGTTAAACTCGGGAACGAGGCGTTAGTTTCATGTTAGGCTAATAAACAAAGGGATAATGATGTTTAAGGAAAACATGATTGGGTAGTTGCAAAACATATTGTTAGGGAAACAAACTATACTTGTCAAGACTCATAAAAAATCTGATGTCACTTGTCAAGTTCTGATGATTCTTGTTAGAAAGTAATGCAGATAACGCACGAAACCAAAAGTACATAAAGACACAATATTTACGTGGTTCGGTCAAGGTGACCTACGTCTACAGACAGGAGGAGAGTATTTTTTATTCACAGAGTTCTCAAACAAATATTACATATACAACCAATATAGATTCGTCCTACTCACTAAGGATACAAAAAACACGACACAAATGACTTAGTATGCATCACTATTTATACTTGAGGGATCATACCTAAAGTCATAATGGGTCAAACCCATTTGCCCATAGGTCCATAAATAGTGTTAACCAATCACAATCAGCCATGCAACATCTTTTGGAACATTCCTTCATGTCAAACAACCCATGAGCATCAACAACACACATGATGGAGCACCATTGGCCATAGTGGTATCATGATGCACATGTGGCGCATCATGAACACTAGTGGTGCTTTATCCATCATGGTGGCGCATCAAGGTGTATTCCCTGAGCATCATAGGGGACTTCACAACATAAGTGGCTCATCAAGGATACCATGACATATCAAGGAAAAAGTGACGCATCCTTGCGTCAAGATGGTGCATCCACATCATGGATGGCATATCAAGTCACTTGGTGGCATATCAAGTCACTTTGTGGTATCTCATGACACTTTGGCTTATCCTGTCCTTTGTCAGGAGATCCATTCCTTTGTCAGGAGATCCATTCCCTTCTTAAATGATCCATTGTCACATGTTCCATGAATCTCAAGAGCTCCATTGAGTTCCAAGTGCTCCATTGAACTCACATGCTCCATGTGAATGCTCTAAATGCTCAAGTCAGACGACCTTCAGAACATATTTTTTCACCTTCGATGACCTTCAGACGACCTTGGAACATCTGTTCACTTCTCTTGTTTTTTTTCTCTCTCTCTCTCTCTCTCTCTCTCTCACTCACTCTCCGTGACTATGTGTTCTGATTTACTGTTCTTAAGTCTAAAACAAACAAACACATGAATCGAGCTTCATGTCTATGTTTAGAATCTAGGTGTCTTTCCCTTTCATGTCTGAAAAAATCTGATATCGATGAATGGGGAGAGACCGCAGCGTGGGTCGACTTTGTGTTCTGCAGCGAGAGCCAGACGCTATCTTCAACAGGGTTGCTCGGGTTTTGTCGCTTACGTCATGGATACCCGGGATAAGGGTAAGGTGACCGTGGATGATGTGTCGATTGTGCTGGATAACTCATATGTATTCCCAGAGGATTTGCCTGGGGTGCCTCCGGAGAGGCAGCTGGAGTTCAGGATTGATCTGGTTCTAGGTGCGGCTCCGATAGCCAAATGTGACACCCCCAAATTCACGTCCAGAAAATACCGATTTCGTTTATGCTTTTAAAATAAAATCAGAGTAATTTTTCAAAGGGTGTTGCGGAATTTGTCCCCAAAAACAAAATATGATGATAAAAATATATCAAAGCATTTCTTAAAGAAATGTATTTTTTTTCCTTTCATTACAAAACTCGGGATGTCCACATCGATACAGACCAAAAAGCATAAACAATACAATATAGGCCTTACAACAGTTATTTACATCTACTGGCCTATAATCCAAAATCTCTCGTCATTGTCCAACTATGCTCATGTTTCACTACCTGTAATATAGAAAACTGAATGGGTCAGACTTGGGAACCTGGTGAGCATATAGAGTTTTCAACCCACAATAAATAAATTTATTAATTTTCATCAACCAACAATAAATTTATTAATTTCATCAACCAACAATAACCCTGATTACTCGTTCCCGTTATCCTCACTTTACGTCCCTAAACACCTATCATAAGGGACCTAGCCTAAGGATCATCATCGGGGTAACAACACTGCTTAAGGGATACTTATGCAGTTTTTAAGGTTCCACCCTAAGAATCCTCTATCATTCACTCATTTATTCCAAATGATTGTCCTAAGGAATAGACACAAAGTCCATTGTTGCCAATAGCACAGCTGCCAACGTTCTCTATTAGGTACAACTACCAATATTATCCTTTATTAGGCGCAACTGCCGATATTATCCTTTAGGCGCGGCTGCCAGGATTATGTTATATTTATTAGGCACAACTGCCAATATTATCATCTATTAGGCGCAGCTGCCGATATTATCCTTTAGGCGCTGCTGCCAGGATTATGTTATACTCCCTCCGTCCCAATATTATTGTCCACAGACAAAAAACACACATATTAAGAAAAACATTAATTACCACTAACTTTATTTAATAAAATGACAGTTTTGTCCTTACTTTGCATTTAATGTTCCATTAAATGCTTAGTTGGTTAAGTAATAATGAGGGGGTATTTTGGTAAAAATGTTATTTATTTTTAGAAGTGGAATATTATTTTGGGACAAACCAAAAAGGAAAGATGAACTATAATTTTGGGACGGAGGGAGTATTTATTAGGCACCACTGCCAATATTATCATCTATTAAGCGCAGTTGCCGATATTATCCTTTAGGCGCGGCTGCCAGGATATTTAGATTACAACTGTTGAATACTTAAATCAAAATACGTGGTGAACACTCCGTTCAAAAATACTTAATGAACACCTAGTGAATACTTAGTTCAAAATCACCTACAGGTTACAAGTCTGTTAATGTTCCACTGGACTGTCAAGAAAAGTCCATGGTCGACATCTATATTCTGCTAGATAACTGGAACATCATCAACATCGAGACCTCTCATCATTTTATTTCATCACACAACAACTATTTCATCTACCCATGTTATATCGAACATATTTGTAGATAAAAATACATATATAGTTTAAATCATTCTAAACATGTATAATACATTCATTCAACATCCATCTCAAATAAACAAACAAATATATATATACACATAGCACGTATTTTATATAAAATACTTCATATCTATGTGTAAGATGAAAGTGACTATACACTCACTTGATAAGATGGCGGTTGTACAACACTTCGTCCCTTAAAACAATCTTTTTCGATAAAACCGGGAGGTTTGCTAAAAAACCGTGCTTCGCGCGGGCAGAGTTTCGACTCGAAAAATTTATTTTCTCGGGGACTTCGGGGCTTCGGTACTTGCTTCGGGTGTTAGGGATGATACTCTAGGCTTGGGGGTATTTAGGGATAACTTAGAAGAAAGTAAAGGGTGAAAGATATGAGAAATTGTAACCTAAACCCGGAGACCTTCGCATTTTATTTATAGTAGTAGCCTGACCCTCGGTACGTTGGGCGTAATCTTTAGGTACGCGGGGCGTACTATCATCTGATGCTCCACGCTGGGCGTAACTTCGGTACGCTGCGCGTACGAGACATGGCATTGGTTCGTTTTCCGGGCCTCGGACGTGTCGATGGGGTAAAATACGTGCCTCCGTCCGAAGAAAAAGGTCGACGTGGCCAACTTCTGACCTAGTCCGAGTACGCGGGGCGTACGGCTTCGGATAAGCCTCAAATTTTATATTTAAAACTTCAAAAATTCATATCTTTTGCATACGGGCTCTGTTTTTGACGTTATTTATATCCACGCGTAGGTGAGATTATACTCTACAACTTTCGTTTAGACTCTGTCGGCTAATTTTGACCTTATTTTTAAAGTTATATTTTTAACAGGCCGGGACATGAAAAGTCCGTTAAAATTTCATAACTTGTTCATCCGACATCCGTTTTCGTCTGTGTTAAACTACTATCAACAAGATCTTCGATTCTCGTTTAGATTGTGTCGGCTAAAAATCGTTCGATCTATAATTCGAATTTCGAGCTACACACTGCTATGCCGATTCTTAGAAAAAAATCATAAGTTCCTCATACGAAGTCAGATTTGAACGTTCTTTTTATGAAAGTTCTCGGTTTAACGAATACTACGACTTTCATTTAGATCAAAAAGGCTAAAAAGTACTTTATTGTAAATTCACTTTTTACGTCACACAACGTTATGATGGTTCCGTCGCAAAACTTCGACAGGTCATAACTTCTTCGTTACAACTCGGATTTCGGTATTCTTTATATCTCCGGAATCCTTGTTTCGACCACTACAACTTTCTTCATACATATCGACTTTATCTAACATTTTAATTTCGACGCTTATTTTTATCCTTAATTTATTATATCATCATAATTAAATATAAGACGCATAAATTCACATAATTCATTCTTATTACTTCAAAACACGTTACAATAGTTGACCTAGACTATTACCTCGTCTTTCATGCTTAGCCCAGAAATACGGGCGTTACTCCAAAGCACAATATCGGTTGGCTCCTCCCGAGATGCAGGAGTTGTCTACGCAACTGTAGGATCTGTTAGACAAGGAGTTTATTAGGCCGAGTAGTTCGCCTTGGGGAGCACCAATTTTGTTTGTGAAGAAGAATGACGGATCTCACCGCATGTATGTCGACTATCGGGAGGTGAATAAGGTAACGGTGAAGAAACGTTACCCACTTCCAAGGATTGATGATCTTTTCGACGAGCTTCAGGGTGC